TGTAGTGCCAGCCTGCGTCAAAAAATCCAGGAGCCGCACTGTTTCTCATGAAGCTTGAGGACAATAAGGTGTGGGGTTTTAAAGACATTTCAGCTTTATTGCACCTGAACCCAGCGTATAGCGTCACGCACTAATGCTAAGCTAAGATGCTATAGACATAGTGCTCCACTTCTCCCAAGCATCCTAACATGAATATATGTCTATAATGTTTATGATCCTAACCCTCCCAGTCAACAACTGCCCACACAAAACTGGCTACGCTGGAGAGCAACACAGAGGTGTCTCCACCCCCTCCACCTGTTAGCGTTCTTTGCCGAGGCAGGAAACGCATCGTAGAGTCACTGTTGCTGTGGAGAGTTGGAGGTAACCAGGAAAACCTGGAGCGGACGTTTAGTGGCTTGAGTATTCTATTGATCAAGTGGAATGGATTTGTTCACGAAGAAATAGAAACTGTGCTGACTGAACTAATGTTTCATGGTAAATATGTGTGTGTGGGGGGTCCAAATGAATGTTTTTTTTAATGTGGGGGAGACACGTCCCCTTCACATACAATGGTTGTAACGCCTATGCTCTTGACCTTGACTTCTCTAAGTGACTTCAAACATCTGTTAAGTTCCTGGCAAAAACAACATAGAGTTTTCTTCTCCGCCTTATAATCTAGCTGTTTTTTTTCTCGCTACTTTTTCTTTTGACTGTCCTTTGGATTGTCATTTTATTTTAATTTGTAAAAAGATAATAATTTGTGTGCCTCTTTTATAACTGTCTATTGTTGTTGCTGTTGTCCATTGTTTCATCTTTCTTTGTTAAACCAGCTCTGTCTTGTAAATGAGTCCTCGAGGCTCAATGGGACTAACCTGTAGAAATAAAGGTTGAATGAATGAATATATGAATTTTTCTGTTCAGTGCCCTGAGACAACTTCTGTTGTGACTTGGCACGATACAAATAAAACAAACTGAATTGAACATGTCTCTGTGTGAGTGCAGCTACAGCGTGCGCTCTCAGGACATCATTACCTGCAGTGTTCCCTCAGTGAGGACTGAACTAGACAAAAGGACCTTCTCCTACTCCGCTCCTGTTTCCTGGAATATCTTGTAAAAAGACCTGAAGCTCTCGACCTTTGACCTCTCTAAGTGGCTTCAAACATCTGCTGGACTCCTGGCAGGGACCAATGCAGATGTTCCTGTTTTTAGTTTCTACACTCGCCTTAGAATCTAGCTGTTTTTTTTTTTTTGTTACCTTTTCCTTTTAGCCATCCTATTTGTTAAAAAATAAAAAACCCTGCAGTATGACTTTTTATAACTGTTTATTGTTGTTGCTGTTGTCCTCTGTTGTCATCTTTCTTTGTTAAATCAGGTCTCTCTTGTAAATGAGTCCTCGAGGCTCAGTGGGACTAACCTGTAGAAATAAAGGTTGAACGTGTAGCTGCAGCAGAGGTCGTGTGAGGACGCTGAAGAGAAACGTTCACTTTGGAAGCTGCACAGTGTGATGGAGCGGCTGAACTGAATAAATCAAGATTAAATCAAAGTAAAAGCAGCTTGAGAAAAAGAAACGTGCAGGTTGGCTGGTGGGGAGTGGTGGTGCAGAGGTTAGAGAAGGTGGGCCTGTGATCAGAAGGTTGCTGGTTTGACTCCCCGGACTGACAACATCAAAATAGTTAAAGTTTTTCTTGGATCTTATGACAGTTTTTATTTTTACATTTTATTGTAACTGGGACCCTGTGAACATAATTTTGTTCCACACATGTACCACATGTGGTGGAATGTCATAGAACTCTGACTGACTGAAAATGTGGGTGTGAAAGGTGAAGCACCCACACCTGCCTCCACCTTCATTCGCCCCACTTTGGGCCCTTGAGCAAGGCCCTTCACCCCACCATCTGCTCCTTGGGGCGCCCTAAACGTCGGCTCCCTGCTCCACGCAGAGGCTGTGGTTGCATCAGGAAGGACACGTGGTGTAAAAACCATCACCGAGTCTTCGTGGGACTTGGTTCTCTGTGGAGACCCATGAAGAAGAGATCAGCTGGAAGAAGAAGACGGGCAGGTTGACAGGCAGCAGCCGCTTCTTCTCCAAGGTCATTGCTGATGTCTTTCCATATTGGTGTTGCTGGATGCTCCAGAACAGCAGAACCTTCAGATGAGGATCAGAGAACCAGCAGCTCCTGATCCTGGATCTCTGAGGTCATGTGGAAGCAGCAGACCCAGAACAAGGTATATACGGACTGGGTGGACCCTGCTGGGTGTTTTTCTTCTCTACAGGTTTAAATAATTTTAGAAGCTGCTAAAGACCTGAGCAGTCTGATGAGGTTCTGAAACCCTGGACCTGAAGCAGGTAGACCGAGGACTGCAGCTCATCTGCTGCTTCTTCACAGTCACTTCTTGATTGTTCTACGTTCCTTCAGTTCTTCTCAGCTTTGTTTCTTTGTTCCTGTCAAGCTGTTAAAATAAAGTTTTAGCGGATTGAATGGAGTCCGTTAATCTGTGAGATTAGCCTTCAACAGATTAGTTAATCCAGTTTCAGTCAACATGTCGAACAGAAGGAACAAGCTTCTCCTCTCAGGTACGTTTGTCTCCTATGAACCCAGAACAGAACCATGAAGCGTAGGAGCAGAACCTGACCGTGTTTGTGTCTCAGTGCTGCTGTTCGGGTCGGTTCTGTTGGCTTCCGCCTTCGTGGAGGAACTGGACGATTCGTGAGTAAAACTAAGATTTGCATCAGAAGAAATCTTTAGTCTGGATCAACCGAACCAGAACCACATGTAGGAGGTTCTGTAACAAACAATCTTTGGAGCAGGTTCTCCTTTTCAGCTTCAAACAAACAGATGTTTCACGTGTGGTTTGTTGCATCGTTGAAAACCTTCTCAACACCTGGAGTTTGTGTGATGATGCAGGAAAAATGAATTATTCTGTTTGTTTGTTTGTTGGACTTGAACATTGTGTATTCTGATAAACAGTTAAACAGATTTTGACCAAATAATCAGAAGTAATCTAGAACTTGGAGAACTCGTGCCCTGGTGAAGCAGCAGAACCAGCTGGGTGTGTAGGGTCAGTAAAGTGATGGTGTGTTTCAGCTTCATGGAGAGCAGAGATCCAGAACACATCTGGCTCATCCAGGTAAGAACACTCTTTAATCTCTGACTGCTCTCCGTGTGAACACCAGACTCATCTGGACCCATCCTGTCCCCTCAGTTCTACGCCCCATGGTGTTCCTTCTGCAGACATCTGGATCCGGTTTGGCACCAGATTGGATCAGAACTCAGGAGCTTTGGGTCTCCAGTTCGAGTCGGCAAATCAGATGCTACAGTCAACACTGGTCTGTTCCCTTCAAAATAAAAATCTGAACTTGTCAAAATAAAATCACAAAGTGTAGTAGAAGTTACTCCTTGACAAAGTAAAAGCATGAGGTGTAGTTTTTGTAGCTTGTCAGAATAAAAGCGTAAGGTGTAGTAAAGCCAACATTTTGTTTGTTTTCCAGTTTTGGCCAAAGAGTTCAGAGTCAGGAATTATCCTGCCATCCTCATGTGAGTCCTGCTGTCACCAGACGTTACCAAATGATACCACACATCACGTGCTGTCACCAGATGTTACCAAATGATACCACACATCACATGGTGTCACCAGATGTTACCAAATGATACCACACATCACGTGCTGTCACCAGATGTT